CTTGGTAGCCCAGGCTGGCCTCGAACTCACAGAGATCCGCCTGGCTCTGCCTCCCAAGTGCTGGGATTAAAGGCGTGCGCCACCAACGCCCGGCTTAATATAGTGAATATTAAGTGAAGCATTTAATTACTACTGCAATTGATTTTTTTTTTCTCCCCCTTGTGTTGGATGTCTCAGTTACCATTTTATAGTCCTTTTTTTTGAAAACAGGGTTTCTCTTTGTAGCCCTGGCTATCCTAAAACTAGACCAGACTGGCCTCAGAGATCTGCCTGCCTCTGCCTTTGAGTGCTGGGATCAAAGACATGTGTCCCCATGCCTGGCAGGTCTTTTTATAGTCCTAAACAATCCTTGCAGTTGAGTGCCCTAGGTATAAAACATCCACTTAGGAAAAAATGTCAACCTTGGGTGCTAGGGAGGTGAGGTTGCTGTAAAAGCAAGAGGAGCTGAACTAAATCACAAGCGCCCACACAAAAGCAAGCCAACTGGTGGTGGTGCACACCTTTTAATCACAATACTCGGGAGGCAGAGGCCAGCCTGGTCTGCAGAGCTAGTTCTAGGCCAGCCAGAGCTGTTACACAGAGAAACCCTGTCTCGACAAACTAAGAGAAAAAAAAAAAAGAAAAAGAAAAGGTAGAATGAAATAGATTCTACCAAGGCTTTGATTGTACTTCCACAACAACTAGGTTATAATAATTTTGTTTTGTTTTGTTTCGAGAAAAGGTTTCTCTGTGTAGTTTTGGTGCCTGTCATGGATCTCACTCTGTAGACCAGGCTGACCTTGAACTCACAGAGATCTGCCTGGCTCTGCCTCCTGAGTGCTAGGATCAAAGGCGTGTGCCAGCCTGGCTTGTTTTTGAGACAGTGTCTCACTATATAATCTTGGCTGGCCTGGAACTCACTGTGGTAGACCAGGCTGGCCTGAAACTCACAGAAATGGAGATCCACCTGCCTTTACCTTTACTAAAGGAGTCCAATGGGTCCTGGGAGCTCATTAGTCTTCCCGGCTAACAAGCACAGTGTTCCTCTCATGCAGGGAGAGACCCTGCTGCAAAAGCTGAAGTGGAGAGCAGTAGAGGGAAACCCTCCCCTGGCCTCTGCATGCATGTGCTTGGGCACCTGTGCTCACATACAGGGTCAACCTGGGGAACATGAGTTGGGTTTGATTTGGTTTTGTTGGGGATGGGGGTTGCTTTGTTTTTAGATGGAGTCTTGGTAGCAAGACTGATCATTCTCCATCTCCCAAGTACAGGGTTGCAAGCATGAGCTAAAAAATACTCCTAGCTAAAAACTTTGTTTTGATTTTTAAAAAAAGAATGAAGTACATCATTCTACCAAGGCTTTGATTGTATTTATACAACAGTGTGGCTGTAATTTGGTTGGTTTTTGAGACAAGGTCTCAATATGTGGCCTTGTCTGGCCAGGAACTCACTGTGGTAAACCAGGCTAGCCTAGAACTCATAGAGGTCCGCCTGCTTCTGCCTCTCAAGTTCTGGGATTAAAGGTGTATGCCACCATGCCTGGTACTTAGCTATAATTTAATAAAATATTTGTATGTTTAATAATACATAGAGACTATTTCTCCTAGTGTTCTAGGTCTAAAATGTAGGTAAAAGAAACCTAAGGAACAGAATAGTGTTTTTTGTGAATTACATATCTATTATAATCTTGATTATGTAATTGGAGGTTTTTTCTTCTTCTTTTCTCTCCTAAATTGCCATGTTTCTAATATAGTTAAAGCTTTCCCATTGTCTAAATTATTGGTCTTAATGGTAAGCATAAAGTTCTGCTAATATATATTTTGAAATAAGTAAAACCAAACCTTTTTAGTGATTCCTAATCTTTTTTAGGGAGAAGAGTTAAAGAGCCTTACCTAAGTCCTTCTCTTACCAGCACAAAAATGTATCTATATATGTGTAGAATTCTTGTAATCCTTTTTACAGTGGAAGCTCCCCTGAATCCAGATGCCCTGTGCATGCCCTCCCTCCATATGTGTGTATGTGTTTACATCATACGTTTTAATAAACATGCTGTGTTTAACATGTGCTCATCATAAAGGAGGCACTCTGAAAGCTTTTCTACAAAACTGTAAGAGAACTCATCCAGGTTCCTTTGCCTGGCTTATATGTGTAAGGTAATTTTATTGGAATTGTCGGATGTATTTATGGTATAAGCTATGTTTTTTTTTTTCCTATTCTAGATTCAGAAGAGGCTCATTCTGTAAATCCGTCTAGTGTTGATGAAAACATTGACTCGGAGACAGAGAAAGACTCCCTCATCTGTGACAGTAAAGTCCTCCCCAGTAAAGCCCCGCTCCCGTCTGCTCTCGATGAGTATGAGTTCAAGGACGATGATGAAGAAGAGTTAAGTAAAATGATTGATGACAGGCACATTCTAAGGAAAGAACAGCGCAAAGAAAACGAGTCCGAAGCAGAAAAGAGTGGTTTGTTTGCAAAACAGGAGAAGGCCTTCTATTCCAAATCATTTAAAACTAAAAAGCAGAAGCCGTCTAGGGTTCTGTATTCCAGTACTGAAAGTTCTGATGAAGATGTTCTTCAGAACAAAAAGATTTCTACTGCATGTTCTGTCCCTGAAACATCAAATTCTGATATGCAAGCCAAGAAAGAATATGAATATAAACAGAAAGGCAAAGTTAAAAGAAAATTAAAAAATCAGAATAAAAACAAAGAGAACCAAGAATTGAAACAAGAAAAAGAGGGGAAAGAAAACACCAGAATAACAAACTTGACAGTCAATACTGCACTGGATTGTTCAGAGAAAACCAGAGAGGAGGGCAGTTTTAGGAAATCTTTTAGCCCAAAAGATGATACTTCATTACACTTATTTCATATTTCCACTGGTAAATCTCCCAAACATTCTTGTGGATTAAGTGAAAAACAGTCAACACCGCTAAAGCAAGAACATACAAAAGCATGTATTTCACCAGGGAGCTCTGAAATGTCGTTACAGCCTGATCTTGCTCGATATGATAATACAGAACCTGAATTTTTGCCAGAAAGTTCAAATATAAAATCTTATAAGCATAAGGAAAAAAACAAACATCAGAAAGATTTCCACCTAGAATTTGGTGAAAAATCAAATGCCAAAATAAAAGATGAGGATCATAATCCAGCATTTGAAAACTCAGAGTGCACGCTGAAAAAGATGGATAAGGAGGGCAAAACACTAAAAAAACACAAACTGAAACATAAAGAGAAGGAGAAGGAAAAGCACAAAAAGGAAGTTGAAGGGGAAAAGGACAAATACAAAAATAAGGAAAATGCTAAAGAGCTGCAGAGGAGCGTTGAATTTGACAGAGAATTTTGGAAAGAGAATTTTTTTAAAAGCGATGAAACGGAGGATCTCTTTTTAAGTATGGAACATGAATCCCTAACAGAAAAAAAATCAAAACTTGAAAAAACCATGAAAGATGACAAATTAACTAAGGAAAAACATGTCTCAAAAGAGAGGAACTTTAAAGAAGAACGGGAAAAGACTAAAAAGGAAAATGAAAGATCTCTTAGGGAAGAAAAGCTGAAAGAAGAAAGAGACAGTGTACCCACAGATAAAGAAGTAGAGTGTGGTTCTGTGGGGGCCAGTGTAAACCAGGACTCGGTAGGGCTACATTCCATGGAAAAGGACGTAGACATTGAAAAACAAGAAAAGCATACAAAAGAAAGGGAGAAATCAGACAGACGATTTCAAACTAAGGAAAAAGAGGTTGACAAGACTGAACGAAAATTTTCTGAAAAAGAAAAGAAGATAAAACATGAACATAAGTCAGAAAAAGAGAAATTGGATTTTAGTGAATGTGTTGACAGAGTAAAAGAAAAGGACAAGTTATATTCACACCAAACAGAAAGGGGTCATAAAGAAGGGGAGAAAATAAAAAACACTATTAAAAAAAACTGATCACAGAGAGAGGAACAGAGAAAAAATGGATAGAAAGCATGACAAAGAAAAACCCGAAAAGGAGAGGTGTTTAGCAGAAAGCAAAGAAAAGCACTTAGAGGAAAAAAAGTCTGATAATAGTGAGTATACTAAATCAGAAAAGGTCAGAAATAAAGACAGGGAAGGAGAGAAGAAGGAAAAATTTAGAGATAAAGAAAGTATAAATGTTACTAACTCTAGACATTTGCAAGAAGAGAAAAGGTCAAGTACAGGAGATAGTAGTAGTAAAATCCAGCATGAGAAAACTATGTCCCTTAAAGAAAAGGCAAGGGATGAACCTTTGAAAACTCCAGATGGAAAAGAGAAAGATAAAAAAGATATAGACAGATACAAAGAACGAGACAAACGTAAAGATAAAATCCAACTAAATACTTTAATCAAACTAAAATCTGAAACAGATAAGCCTAAACCTAAGTCATCACCGGCATCGAAAGACATCCGACCTAAAGAAAAGAGGCTAGTCAATGATGATCTAATGCAGACAAGTTTTGAACGGATGCTCAGCCTTAAAGACCTAGAGATAGAACAGTGGCACAAAAAACATAAGGAAAAAATTAAGCAAAAAGAAAAAGAGCGATTAAGAAATCGTACTTGTTTAGAACTTAAAGTAAAAGATAAAGAAAAAACAAAACATACACCCACTGAATCAAAAAATAAAGAATTTACCAGGTCAAGAAGTTCAGAATTGACTGATGTTTATAACAAGGAGAAATAATCTAAAGATGTTGGAAGTAATAGATCACAATCTGTTGACACCAAAAATGTACTGAATTTAGGGAAGTCATCTTTTATTTCAGAGAACAGCTCAAACCGCTCTCCTAGGTCAGAAAGTGAGAGGCTGGGTCTTAGCTC